TTTTTTTTTGAGAAAGAGTCTCACTTTGTCACCCCTGGTACAGTGCCGTGGCATCACAGATCACAGCAACCTCACACTGCTAAGCTCAAGTGATCCTCTTGCCTCAGCCTCCCAAGTAGCTGGGACTATAGGAACCTGCCACAATGCCCAGCTATTTTTTAGAGATGGGGGTCTTGCTCTGCTCAGGCTGGTCTCAAACCTGTGAATTCAGACAATTCTTGGCCTCCCACAGTGCTATGATTACAGGTGTGAGCTACAGTGCCTGGCCTCAATCCTCACTTCTAATTCAGGTTTTGATGGCTCTGACTCCAAAATAGATTTTGAGACATCTTTCCTGAGGACTCCATCACCACCCTGATCCAGACCGCCTTGATCTCCTCTCCAGTTTTCTACTAGGCTTTCCTGCTTCTACTACACTGGCCTCTCCAAGGCATTCTCCACACAGGAAGTAGCCAAAGCATAAATCAGATCATTCCAGCACCCAATAGTTTGCCAGTTGCACTTAGGACCAGAAGATGGTGAGAACACAGCAATCTCCTTGACAGGCAAAGATTTGAAGTCGGCTGAGACCCTGGAATCAGAGTGGGTATAGCCAAAAAGGCTCTCTCTTGAGTCTTGTGGGGCCTCCTGGCCTCCTCTGCCTCCCTCCACAGGCCACCATCCTTGGCTTACCCATATGGGCAGCTGCTCAGGGCAGATTATAGCCTGTCCAGTGTCCTTCACCTTCCAACTACAATTTGCCTTCAGGTTCAGATTCTCAAAGGAGAGTCTGATCAGCTCAACTTGTTAGGACAGCGCAGTGATGGCTCAAGGTAGTTGCCAAAATATTTGAAGAGAACACAGCAAGTAAAGCTTTCAAGAAAGGAAAAGTTTATTTTTTGGCTTGGACAGCAGGCTGCGCCCCATCCTAAGGACTGCAGGCATTGGGAAGAGTGCAGTGCTGGATTTTATGTACAACCTTTGAGGGTGTCAGCTGCTTCTTAGAAGTTTCCAGGATCTTAACTAACTCCATTCTCATAACATGTTCCCATAAAAATCCATAGCTGTCTGTCCATGTCAGAAAGTACCTGGGGACTCAGCACCCATAGCACAGTGGTTATGGCATCAGCCACATACACCAAGGCTGGCGGGTTCAAAACTGGCCTGGGCAAGCTACACAACAATGACAACTGCAACAAAAAATAGCTAGACATTGTGGCAGGCACCTGTAGTCACAGCTATTTGGGAGGCTAAGGCAAGAGGATCACTTGAGCCCAAAAGTTTGAGGTTGCTGTGAGCTATGATGCCACAGCACTCTACCCAGGGTGACACAGTGAGACTCTGTTTCCAAAAAAAAAAAAAAAAAAGAAAGTCCCTGGGACATCACTTAGTCCCCCAAAACAGCCCACTAGCAAGGTCTTGACCTGCAAAGCCTCAATTAGTTTCATTCCCATAACAGCTCAGGCCAGCCAGTCCAAACTAGCCTAATCTCTACTGCCACCTGCTCACGTCTAACTGCCTAACCTGATCAACTTGGGTGCAAGGACTGCTGAAGCTGCACTCAGCTGTGGAGGGGAGGAAGGGAGTAGTAGTCTCTAAACATGGTCACTAACGATTCCTCCCATCCCTCTAAGCAAAATAAGTGGAATCTACCTCCTCTACCCTTGAATCTGGGCAGGTACGGTGACTCACTTTGACCAACAGAATACTGAAGAAGTGCTTTGGGGGACTTCTGCATATCAGCCATCAGAAATCAGGGAGGGTCCTGCTTTCTCCTTCTGGGAGGCCCGTGGCTGCTCCCCGCAGTGTTGAAGTGAAGGCCAGTCCACCATATGGTGGGAGGCCACACGGATAGGGACCCTGGAGGGGAAAAGGTCATTAGGAATGTTCCAGCTGCAACCTAGCTTCCAGCTGAAAGCAGTCACATGAATAACTCTAGCCTACACCCTTGCCCAGCTGAGCCTGTCAAACCCGTGTTGTGATAATCATTTTGTTTGCAGCCACTTAAGTCTTGAGGTGATTTGTCCATAGCAATAGATGCCTCAAATTGTAGCTAAGGACCAAGTTTCTGGCAAAATACCAGTTTCCCACAGGGCTGTTCCTACCCCAGAGTGTGTGCCTGAGGCTGGGTGGGGATATAGTCTGGCCAATAGCACCTGGGAATCCTGGCAGGTGCTGTCCCTTGGAGACTAAGGGCTCTCCTTGTGACTCCTTTCTGCCAACAGAATTTCTTACTTCTTTGGACAGGGGTAGATGATAGCTACTCAGCACCATCCATACTTGTCTTCAGCAATCAGTGCAAACAACCAGAATCTCTCAGTCCCTCCCAACTGCGCAATCCTGGGAAAAAAACCAACTGTTCTAACTTGGAACAGGGATGTGCTAATAGGGCCAATCAACTGTGACCAAGTTGGTATGGTAATAAGCGACAAAAAATGAGACTACTCGGCTTGGTGCCCATAGCTCAGTGAGAAGGGTGCCAGCCACATACACCGAGGCTGGCAGGTTTGAGCCCAGCCTGGGCCTGCTAAACAATAACAACTGCAACCATAAAAACAGCCAGGTGGCTCAGCCCCTGTGGCTCAAGTGGCTAGGGCGCCAGCCA